TTCTTGTTAGTTGAGGAGCCGTCGGGCCATTTGCAGCCCGAACACAGGCTTTACCTTCCAGCTGCTGCTGCTGCAAAAGCGTTTAGGTCTCAAGCCACACCGTGCTGCGTTCTCTTGTCGCAATCAAGCGCACTCACGGGACGGGCAGGAGGCGTTGAAAACTCCCCCCACACTGAGGAGCATACCCTCAGAGGGTCCATCTTCTCCAGGACCAGTATCTGACAGGCAGTGGACCTCTGGCAAGGGCTTAAAAAGGGCGGGATCCCCCTTAGAAAGCCGTGCATCACCAAGGCCTTCTGTGGGCTCAGAAGAGCTTCCACCAGGGGCTCCAGGATCTCCTGGCGCCCTTTCACCACATTCTGCACAAGAGCGTTGTTCTCATTCGCCTGTGGGGGAACATTTGTCCTCAGACGGCTCGCATCTGGAAGTATCGGATGCTGTAGTCACACTAAGAGGCCTGCGTCCCCATTCCCCACGGGTGTGTGCACCACCCAGACCTGGAGGGGACAGCAGCGAAAATGAGGCAGGAAGTGAGGTGGGCCCACAAAGAGAGAGCCCTTCATCCTCAGTAGAAGCAGCAATAACGGCAAGAGGGAGGATCTCCTCCGCTGAGGAGGATTGCGTTCTCCTGCTGCATCTTGTGGTGCACTCCGCGCACTCTCCAGATTTCTTGCTTTGGTCAGAAATGACGGAGTGGAGGCCAGGGGTAGTTCCTGCAATGTCAGAGAAAGGGGCCTATATGCTTAGATGTAACGGTCAGGGATGGGTATGGATGGATGCGAGCAAATGTCTCCGCACAGCAGCGCAGGTGGAGGCAGCAGCAAGCAACTATCAAGAAAACGTGGCACTTGTTGAAGGCCGAAGTGAGAAGTAGATACAATAGTTTTGCCGTTGTGTCTCCACATGAGGTCCTTTTTCTGTATTTTGTCTTGCACTAGCTACTGTGCTGGAAATTGCGTCGCGGCCGCTACTGTATCCACTTTACAGCTTAGTTTTAAGCTTTCGTTGTCGTAGGGACGACCAGATTCGTTCCTTTAGTCAAGCTCTCTGTGACGTCTCGTATTACTTGGCTGCCTTGAATCACGTTTTTGGTGAAACTGTCCATAGGCATCCGCCTTCACTTCATTACTGCTGGCTCGGAGCCTGCAGACTTCTGGCTGGCCTTCGGTGTAGGAGCAGAGACCCCACATCCTCATCTGGGGGTCCCCAATGTCCTTTCCGGCGTGAGTTAGATTCACATTTCCTGGTCGTCGTTGTCGTTTGGCTCTTGCCGCACCTTTGCACCGTTTAGCCCATGTTGCAGGTATTTGGATTCCCCAATGCAATGCCCTTTCGGTGTGTGTTTTTGTGGGATAATTTCACACAGTTGGAGCCGATGGTCCCGGAGAAGTCTGAAGAGCCCTTCCGTTGGCGAGATTATTGCGCATTCGACCTTCCGGGGGACTGGGCAGAAGGGGACTTTCCTGCAGGAAGCGCTGATGGAGATGCCATGGAGGCGGTGGTTTCTCAAGACCTATTCGCAGTCCCGGGAGAGATCGTGTTGGAGGGGACTCCAGAGGAGCCTTGCCAAGCAGGCGATGAAACGCACATCCGTTACCAGAGCAACAGCAGCTGTAGCAGTGCGTCGTCATGCGTGCCCTCCCTGCGACGCTCGTTCAAGGCATTTGGCCATGCCGCAAACAGGGCTTCAGCAGGAGCACCGCCGGAGGAAGTAGCAACAGTCGCAGGAACACATGCCAAAGGAACAGCTAAGCTCTTCTGTCTCCCAGATTTAGAAGAACCACTGGATTTATTCGATTCAGAGGATCTATTTTCAGATAAAGTGTATTTGCTGGTGGCGGACAGCAACGACAGCACCGGCAGGCTACCGCGTGCTGCGTCTCCTGTGCCAGCAACTGCTGCAACCGGAGCAGTGACGGCGTGGCTTTGGGTGGGATCTGAGGCGGCACTAGACTCGCAAAATGATTATGAAGCTGTCAAGGCTCAAGTTATGGATGCTTTCCATCTCCAACCCGGGCAGTTACAGCTGTCAGTGGAGGTCAGTGCGCTCGCCTCGCTGTTGCTGTTGCTGTTCCTGTTCATGCCTAGAGCAGTGCAGAGGTCAAGCCCAGCATAGCTTCTGATTGCTCCACTGTATAGATTTGAGCGCTAGCAGCTGCTGATGGTGCTGCTATCGCTGCTGAGGCTCCTATCGCTGCTGCGGCTGCCACTAGTTCGGGTCAAGCTGCTGCTGCTAGCATTGCTTTTGGTGTCGCAGCAAGAAGGAGAGGAGTCAGAGACTTTCTGGAGTTACTTCGCCAACGGCTGACGGTCTGCCCAGTGCAGGAGGACTCCCGTCTCCGGCGTCACTTGGGTGGCGCTATGAACACAGTAGTGCGCATGTTGCCGTGATGGGAGAGCGGGGACGGCACAAAGGGAACAAGACAGCCTAGCCCTTGTACATACAAACAAAAACACTGCCAGGCTTATGGTACTAATGTTGCGGTGGTTTCAACCGCAGTTGCAGGAAAAGCCGTGCTACATGTAGCGAAACGACCCTTCAGCACTGTAGTTGGCCCTTCTGTAGCTTGAAGGAAAATCTCCACAGAGGAACGGGACAGAATTTGTGATGAAGGCGCCGCATACTACACAGTGCCGTTCGGCTGCTCTAAGAGAAATCGTCTGTGGCAAGAACGGCCAGTTTGTTTTTGTAGGGAAAGAGCATGATTATCTGTATAATGCCTGCACACAGATGTCGGGACGCTCGTTAGTATTGTTGGAGCTGCGTGTTTTGCATTTTGCAGTCAAGGGGATGTGACCGGTGCTGCACACCAGCAGCACATAGGTGCTGCTGTCCAGCTGACGTTCAAACAGATTTGTTGGGCAGTTCAGCGAAATCACATGAAGTTGAAATGCATCCTCCAAAGACGCGCATTTAATTCAGACCTGTGTCAGTGGCCAAGCGTGGCCAAACTAGGTACGGACTGTGTGGAGATAGCATTTAAAAGACAGCGAGTAACGAAGAAGTACGAGCAGCGGCAGTCGCGCATGCAGTGCGCAGTTGCTACATGCACATTAACACAACAGCGACAGTGTCCTGGAAGAGGCGGAGGCTTCAACGGGTTCTGTGAGTGGTGGTCTTTTGCTCGACGGCGGAGTGGAGCAATGTTTAGCTATATTTGGTGAAGTTCATAGGAAAACTTGAAATACTGGAGTCACCTCTGCAGATTAATTTCAATACAAACATACATGTCAATTGCCTGAACGCAACCTGCGGGTTTAAACCACGAGCCAACGTAAGTCGCATGCTCGCTCTGTGAAGCGCACTTCGTGGTTGCATAATAGCATTGAAAGTACTTCGGCCCCTCAGAGCCGCCTGTCCTTCCTCGCGTTCTGACTCCCAGCCATCGTAAACATACTCGGGTGAAGTGCTCGTGCATGACGAGACTTCCTCACTGCGTTATGCTTCAAGGGTGACCTCATTTTCACGCTCAGTGGAAATCGGCGGGGGGAAGTACACTACGTTTTAGGGGCTGGCTGTATTTACAGAAGCATCTGCTTACCCAGCGATTAAGTTCTGTTCTTCACTTTGTCAGTTACTCGGTGTGCATACGAGCTATGTCGCCACGCGGGATAAGTTAACAATTTTTGTCCAGCCATAGGGCATGTGGGTGTGTACTAAAGCTACATTAAACAACTTCGTGTCGTCCCACCTACTCACTGGAACTATTCAAAACGGCTCAATTCACCGGCACAACGCTTCCCGCGCTGCTCTCGGGCGGGAAAACACCATCTACAGCACCCTTTCAAGGCGAGCGTGGACCTTTTCCAGGGCATTGTAGCTGTCTCATCAATATAGAGGATACGTACGTACAGAAAGTCAGCATGCGCCAGGTTCAAAACCCAGAAACATTGCCAGCGTGTGTCGTGTGCAGCTCTGCGTGCAAACAACAGTAGGGGAGTCGCTTTCGTGCACTTTCGCTCAGCCGCGGAGGTAGCTTCAGCAGTATTTGAAAAATAATAGTTGTGTGTGCATATTGTATAGCTTGCGCGATAAAGCCGAGACATACACTGCATGCTGTGTAAAACTGCACAGGTGCTGGGTGCTCCGTCAGCTTCGTTGTTCTCCTAACCGCAGGCCAGAATGCAATATCTACACTAAGGATTCATCAACACAGTTAAATTAATGCGTAACGTGCTCATGAACAACTCAGAGAATGCACATGATTGCTTATCTCATGTTGCATGCAGACGCTGCCGAAGAGCGCTGGCAAGAAAGCCCTGATCAGGGACTCGCAAGCACTCTGCGTTCTGTCCAGCATGAATTTTCTTCGCGTCACGAGCGCGTACTTATCAAGTGGAGTTGACACTCTGCTTTTTGTGGTTGTTGTGGACGCGTTGCTAGTGGCGCAAAGGCAGTTCGGCCGTCGGTCTAACGAGTCTGTCTTACCCGAGCCCTCGCAGCCGATGAAAGCGGGCCCCTTCTCTTGCCCCGCATTCTGTATTTTAGGCTTTTGTCCTCTTTACGTGTTAATTAGGCAGCTGTTGCCGCTGGAACCTTACAGGAGCGACTGAGCGGGGTTTTCTGGCGTGGTTCCAACCCCACCGCCAGAACCCAAGCCGAATTCAAACTGTGTGTCATCCCTAGTGTACTTTTCCTCTCCCAGGTCTGTCTTGCGAGCAGTGCCTACCTTCTTCCGCATGGATGGAGGAGAGGCGTGATGCTTCTGTCGATATTGACATCAAGAAGGCTCCCTAGCCCGTCAAGTAGGCATCTCGTACAGGCGGCTCCAGAGCATCTGTGCCAGCTCTCTAATTGTTGCCCCTGCTTCGCAGGAATTGTCTATGATCGTCTACCACCTCTGGTCCAATATCGGCGTGCTTCGGAACACACAAACGTCACCAAATTAGTTCCCCCCGTGTCATACGCGGTTTTCCCAGCGTTCCATACCTGGACACATAGTGCATTGGGGTGGCAACACTGCAGCTCCTCCGCATCACAACGCAGCCTTATTGGGATAATGGCAAAGCCCGTCGCACGTTGGAGGCGCTCTGGGCCTCGGGACAGCATAGGCATCCAAAGAGGCGCTGAGGCAAGTGCACCTCCTGGGTCTTCAACTCCTTCTGACAATCAGGAGCCAAACATTCCGAGGACATTCTCCTCCTTTCGTACGCAGGGAATAGCCTCCACAACACAGGAACCAGGGACCTCCCCCAGTCGTGAGGATGGCCTTCTACGGGCTCCCTCTGGCTTTGGCCCCGCTGGCTTCTCTACTCAGTCTCCGTCTGTAGGAGGGTCTGGTGGACTCCCAGCACATAATATTGGGGCGTCAGATGGATCACGAGGCAACTTCGGGCCTCCGGTCAGCCATGCGCCAACGGGGAGCGATCCGCAATCTGCAATATCTGTGCTGTTCGGAAACAGGGGCCTTGAAGCCTTCAACAAGCTCACACTCGACGATGAATACATCCTTCACTTCTACGGAGTCCGGCAAACGGTATATCCTGCATAGAAAAGCAACTGACAACAAACTGAGAAGCTCTGTTCCCATGATTCCAGCGTAGGGTGCATCTATTTGCACATTTGAGCCCTGTTCGCATTCAATTCACGGTGCTACATGTTGGAGTGGTCGCTTGTTCGGCCCTTTCGGCACGCGAATGGAGAGTGCAAGCAACATGGTTCTTGTACCTTCAAGTTTCATGCCTGCTCCACGTAAAAAGCTTGTGAGTACTTGCCGTCGGTTTTGCGTTTTGATTGCGTTCAGTTTATGAAGCCGGCGGTACAGGAACACTGCGAGAGGGCACCTGGGGGAGATAGTAATGGAGGGTTTCAGCACACGCTTGTGTGGAATGTCAGGAGCCGCGAATTCAGGGCCTCCGGCATTGGCCGCTCAAAAAAGGATGCGAAGAAAGAGGCTGTGAAAGTTCTCTTGGTGCAGTTGGGTCCGGTGACCCCTCATGTGAGTTGCTGTTGTGACTCAACATTTCAGGGGAATGATACCACGATAGGCTCAACAAGGTGCAGTGCAACACATAGCACTATTTGTGGGTTCGTATGTGTCATCTGCAGGAGTATGAACAAGTTACTCGAGTCATTTTCAGCACCCTCCGAGGAAAACTGAACGCGAAGCAGAGGGCTATTCCCATTTCCAGGATGAGTAAGCAGTTCGGCCGAATGTGATACCAGACAAACACTTGCTTATATTAACCCGCGCTTCCTTATGCCCACAGATTCACTGGCAAGCGCTAGAGAGTGCACAGACAGAATCGCAGACAAGTGAGCAGCCCCATTGTTGTCTCTTCGCTCTCCCTATGCGGAGCAGCCTGCGGTTTTGTTCAGAGGCCTTTAGCATAATGTACGGCACGTAACATTTGACTAGGTCGAGTCTAACGGGCAGTCGACTGAGGCAGAGCAGTGCTGGCCTTGCGTGCTTGCGCCACTGTGGAAACCATGCAGAGCACAGTTTCGAGTGGAATTTCTTGCTGGATGGAGAGCCTACTATCGTGGAGTCACAAGGTAGTGGCTCCTTTCCAGCTGAGGCAGAGATAGCCGCGATGCAAGACATGTACATAAAAGTGCAGGAGGTGCGCATGTGCTCTCCAGGATCCTCAGCAATGCCCTTTTCCTATCTACCTACCTTTTCATAGCTTATGGAAGAGGTGGTTCTGCTCACATTTTTTGCAGCGAACAGTTGTACCGTTTCTGCAGCTGAAAGATAAGGGGTTGATGCGTCGGGCAGTCTTAAATGCTGAGGCATCGAAAAATAGGAAGGTGCAGCCACAGGAGCACCGGAGCCAGATTACGAGACCGTCGCAGCTCTCAAAGCACACAGCTGGTGAAATTAACATGCTGCACAATACCGTCACCTCCCAGAACCAAATAAAGGCCACAGAAACGATAACGGAGGCGCCAGAAGGTCATCGGTGTGCGCTTGAATGGAAATGGAAATCGAATGATGGGCGCATGCATTCTGTAAGCGAATCGCTCGCTGTCTGCTGTACCCGTCTCAGTTGTGCTTTCACCTGTCAGTAGATACGGCTTTGCGCGTTGGTTTAACCTAGGACCCTGAGCGCTATAGATACTTCCTCATTCGCACAACTTGAGTGGTAACTCAAATTGTGCATGTGGACATAGCCAAGCCGAAACTCTCCACTCTGACAGTCGAGGTACAGTTATGATCTTTCTGCTCCATTTGCTACGGTGGCACTGCAGCATGTTATCGTCGCTGTCGGCTCTACCAAAGCTGGTGCACGAGCTCAGGCAGCCATGCAAATGATGCAAGCGGCGGGCTTCATAGAACACGTTGATGACAAGGACAGGCAAGCAGCCCTTATGGTTGTGAACCAGGTGGAAAGCAAAAAGGTGAGCGTTGCAAAGTTTGCAGGGGTAAAATGCCCCTACATTCTTCATGAGGAAGGCGTGCTTGCGCTTGTGTGTACGTGAGCTTTACCACCGTATTGATGTGGCGGCTTGTCTGCTGTCAACAGCTAATATTAATTACTAGGTTGCCACCTTTTCACGTTGTAGCCACTCGTCCCGCGTGTTAAGGTAAAGTTGAACACTGTACTCTTCTAAACGCGTAGCGCATCGGTCTGCAGGAGGCAGTGGCAGGTTTGTATTGAAAGTGTGTGCGCTTTGTGTCACGCATGTTTGGTGCTCTGCAACAGGACCCGTCTGTGTATGTCGAGAGTGCGTGCCGGCTCATTGCCGAAACAAGGGGAGCTGTATGGCGTATATTCCTGCCAGTCGTTTGGCGCGCGGCCATGGCTGAAGGCAGTCGATCACTAGTAAACTCGCTAATCGACCAGTTAAAGGTGCAAGCAGCTCCACGCCCCGTGGTTGCAGAGCAAACTCAAAGTAAGTATCCATCTTATATGTAGATTTAAGCTTGCAACTGCCCATTGTACATCAGCACAGAATGAGACTGTAGTAGCATACCACCGCTGTCGACACGTTTGAGAAGCTTGTTGTGCTGCAGGTGATGGCCAGAGTAGTTCTGGGCCGCAAGAGGTCGTTAAAGCGTCATATGACGCTCCAAAAGTGATGCCTCCGGATCTGTGGGAGCAACTTCTTGATGAGTGCACGGTTTTGACGAACTGCGAGTTTGGACAGGTGAGTCGATGAGGGAACAGCCATGTTCGAAGATCTGCGTGCTCATGCGTTGCGTTTAGGGTTGACATTCCGTTTCTTCCTCTTTTGTGGAACTGTCCCAGGCGTTTCAGTATGGATAAGTTATCTCTGTTGCTGTTTTCAGTCGGTGCTTCACGAGCTTGGTGGACTGTCACTGGACAGCAGCTGGTTCCCTTCGACTCTGGCCATGCGCTACTTTCACAATTATAGGTGAGCTGTATTTTGTGGATAGGCGCAGTGCCAAACCTTACATTATGCCGCTGGTTGTGAGACCATTGCTGCCTGTGAGGTGCCTATCCTACTAGCTTGTTGAGAGGCTTGCTTTGGCTTCTAGGCTAATGCTTGCGCTGGAGTGGCAAGCACAAGTTGCAACAAACATCAGCGATCGTCGAGCTTTTGCCGACCTTGGGGAAGGCAAGCATGTTCTACTTACGCGGAAGTCTGTCACCTTCCCAGTGTTTTCGTTCTCCACATTCTTACGAGGCGAGTATACACACACATGGTGACTTCACAGTACCTGCACACGCCGGATTACGAAAAGATCAGTATTCAAACACGCTTTTTTCGCAACACTAAATCTACTAATGGTTGCTCCAAGGTTCTGCCTGAAGGAGGTCACAAAACACTATGTCAAGCAGTTGACTAGAAGCGTATAAAGGTGGCCTTTGCTCGCCCGTAAGGTACACGAGTGATGTGTTACAAGCCTTCGATGAAGCACGCCACGTTCGTTTTAGGACCTCAGAACCGTTAATTGCTAAATGCTTGTTGGAGCAGCATGTGCAGCAGCTTTGTGATGCGAGTTAACACTCGCATACGGCGAGTGGCCATTAATGCGTGGAAGAGGCTGGGAGGTAGCATGAATGTAGCTGTCTGCTGGTTTAGCTCGAAGTTGCATTCAACGTAGTAAAACCTGCGTTTGACAGCTCCGCTTTGCTGGTGCTTTTTTCCAGAGGAAGAGCGCATGTTCCTCAGGAGCGTCCAGTTCCGGGAAGATGATATCGTTCTCCTCAGGCCGGCAGATCCGCATGCATTTACTGAGGAGGAATCTTGGGTAGGTGGACTACAGGAAGCATCTGTACTGATTTTATCGGGCATTTCAGTAGTATCTTTTTCAAGCCTACATGCTCCAGCTGGCTGTTGGTCTTGTCCCCTTGTATGGAACCTAGGCGTCGTAGGGCCATTAAGTGGATGATTTGCACACGGCATTGCCAGTCTTTCTGCATGTATTTGTAAGCTTTGGCCTTGAATCAGTGGATTTGTACATGTGCTCCAACAGCAGCACTGTGTGAGTGATTTTTCGTCCGTAACGTGTGCTTGTACAGCAACGATGCTTTGTGGGCGTCGTTACGAGTGTAAAAGGAGATTTCTCAGAATCCATGAACGTGAATGTTCGCGTTGCCACTGCCGAAGTCAAGAAGTACCCGGAAGTCTTCAGTAAGTGTTCAGGGTGACACTCCTGTAGAGAAGAATGAACCTGGAAGGCATTAGCAGATGCGCAGCTGTACATCGCTAAGGCTCATGCTGTCATTCTTCGTGTATTTACGTGTCTGTGGCTGTGTTTATCCCTGGGTCTCTGTCTTTGTCCAGCAACCAATAAATTCAAGCTTTACTATCTCACTCCCGCTGTAACGCACGATAGGATGGTCCAGGCGCTCAGAGGCCTTACAATGTCGAAGCATCCAGCAGGAGTCAGTGGGCGAGTTGGCCTTTCATCCATTTTTTCTTATTAGCGCATGTCCACTTGCGGTTTGCGTAATGAGCTGTATCTTACACTATTACTTGTATTCAAGCATTGAGCATACAAATCACTCTGCTGGTTTGTATTTTGGGGGAACAGTTTTGCCGCTCTTGTTGGCCCGTCATCTGCGTGTATGGCAATCACAGAAGTCGCCACCCCCTTACGTCTTCGCACCGGAGATCCGTTACCTTCTTCTTCACACTAGTGAACCTCAAGCCCAGCAGGTGTCTGGTCGTAAGCTTCAGTCCCAGCGCAGTTGGCGTCACAAACGTGTGTTTTCTAACTGGCAAATCGTGAAGAAGGTTTGTATTGTGTGGGTATAGGTAATGGATTTCATGCGGCTAGCGCAGGATTTTGTCATGTTGTGAACCCCAGGGGGGCCAGTGCCGCAGCTAAGCGACACAGACCCAGAGCAGTACAACCCGCTACACCAGTTGGATGAACTGGCGGATGGTGACTCTTGCAAGAAGCAACGAGTGCAGCCATCGCTGCTGCAACAAGTTGTAAGCATTCTACGGCTGTCGACGTGGCACAACTTAACTTTTGAGAACAACAATTTTTTCAGCATGGGCACATGATTTTCTTGTGCTTGCATATAGTGCGCGAAACGCTGATGCTATCCTGTTGCTTCTCAGTCACTGCAGGCGCGGAGGCAGACCCCTTCCTCAAGCCGTAGTGCTGCGGATGAGGGCTACGAAATGTTCGGCGATGGCTTTCGACTCCCGACAGGCTTGCCGCTTAACGAGGCTCAGCGCCAAGCAACGATAAGCGCCATGACAAATCGCCTAACCCTTGTGCAGGGTACGCTGCAATCTGCTCTTTGCACGTGTCGCTTTGCCGAAGGTCTTTTTTGAGTTGGTTAGTGTCCAGTCCGCGGTGCGCCTCAGGTCCTCCTGGCACAGGAAAGACACACGTGGCTTGCGCAATTATTGATGCGTGGCAGCGTATCAACCCTACTAAAAAAATTCTCGCTGTCGCCGACTCAAACGTTGCCGGTTAGTAACAAATGCCATGGCCCCCTTTTCACGCGGACAACCGGAATATTAGCGCACTTGGGATGAATTAAAGGACGCTAGCTAACAGAGGTCTCCAGTGGCTGTCGCAGTTGCAGATTTGTGTTTAGGGAGCTACTCGTGCTTTCTTCTTTAATTTATGGCTTTAGTTTCATGCATACGTGCAGCGGACAATCTCATGGAGGGGCTCAGCAACCGAGGCATCCGTAGCGTTCGAGTAGGCAGCGGAAGCGAGTCGGATTTAAAGGAAGAGTCAATTCAAGGTACCTGGCTGTTGTTTTGACGCTGCGCTGATGCATTGCGAATTCGTTGTTAGTTTCTTTTCCTCGCAAGATGCACGGCAGCTGTCCGCATGATTGAGAGTTAAGCATCAAACGTGCAAGCGGCTCCAGTGATACCAAATGCTGTTCCATAGATCTTCCTCGATATCGCGATCTTTTACGAATGAGAGACAAAAATTCGGGAGAGGCACGAAGTTTGCGCATGCTCCTCGTCCGAGAAGCCGTTCGCAAGTATAATGTCATCATCGCAACCTGTGTTGGCAGTGGCCACGAGATGTTCGACGATGTCACGTTTGAGAGGGTCATTATTGACGAGTGCGCCCAGTCCATTGGTGCGTCTGTCACTGTTTCCCGTCAGCAGGACACCACATCATTCATTGTCTTTAGAAGGAAAAGATTGCTTGATTTTGCTTCCTGTGTGTCTCTTCGATGTTTGCTTTTATAGAGCCGTCAAATCTAATCCCATTAGGCCACGGTTGCCGATCAGTGGTCCTAATTGGCGACCATAAGCAACTTCCTCCCACAATCGTTTCACGGGAGGCTAGCGATGGCGGGTAGGCGGAGGGTGGGAAGAGCACGCGTGCACTGTACTTGATTTGTGTACGCTCACGGAGCCATAGTAAAAGCAGTTGGGATCGCTTCGTTGCATAGTGTCGTGTTGCGGGTGCTCTTGATTGTAGGCTGGGAGTTTCGCTTCTTGAGCGATTCGTCGGAAGTGGAATCGCACCGATTCACTTGCTAAACGAGCAACGTCGTATGCATCCAAGCATTGCTCATTTTCCAAACATGCAGTTCTACCAGGGGAAGATTTTCAGTCGAGGTGTGTTGCATGCCTATGAACTTCCGTATGTACAAATTCGCTTGCTAAATTCGTGCAAAATGCAGCTCGCATCGCAGCGCGGTTATTGACAACTCGGGTACTGTAGTGGAGCGGCGCAAAGCATGTTTCACAGTATAGAGGCAGCGAGTCTGTGCCATTCGCTCTTGGGTAAACTGCACTGTTTTGCTGAATGTAGTTTCTGTATTATGAGCTTTGCATTGCTTGCTTGACTGTACGTGCGTTCTAGATGTGGACGACTGCAACCGTCCCCCAGTAGCAGGGTTTCTTTGGCCATCCTCACACAGTCGGGTGTGCCTTATTGATATTTCCGCTGGGCTTGCGAACATGGAGCAGTCTTTGGGGACGTCGAAGTACAGCCTTGTGTAAGCCAATTGTTTTTACAGCTGTTTACTGCCGCAAAAAGTACTAGTGCATGGAATGGCTGCACGAAGTGCATGCTGTTACTGGAAATGAGTACAGCTAGCAAATGCACCGTTAGACAGATTGAGAAACAGGAGCGTCGGCCTCTCATGATTCCTGGAAGATTATGCATTTGGTTCCATGAGTAGATTATACCGGTGATTTTCTTCAGTGAAATCGATCCGATACTGGCAATATTGCGGTCAGTATTGCAGTGCGGTACAATCCGTCCGAGCGAAATCGGCATTTTAACCCCATATGATGCGCAGAAAGCGCGGATCCGCTTCGCCTTAAACGACTCTTTTGTAAGAAGCCCTGCGTTCCCAACAGTTCGTAGTTGCAACTGGCCTTTTGTTTCTGCGTAAACTCGCCTGCTCTGCGCATGTCGTCAGCTGCTTTCAGTCTCTGTGGAACCACCACAGCTGCACCAGATTGTCCAGCATCACATTTCTCGTTGAGGCGCTTAGCAATTCTTTGAGATTCTTGCCTCACAAATGTAATTAACTTGTTCTGTCTGGCGGGTGATCCCAAGGAGCATAGCTATTACAACGCATATTACGGATTCCCTTTGACGGGTGGCTCCATGGAGCATTACTGTTGCTACACATTTTACGGTGTCCGTGCGGCTTCAGGACAAGGCGTTGTGCTACCAGATTGATGTCGACTCTGTGGACGGGTTCCAGGGTAAGGAGAAGGATCTGATCATCTTCAGCGCTGTTCGTTCCAATCCTAGAGGTGAAATAGGTTTTTTAAAGGATGCACGCCGGCTCAACGTGATGCTCACGCGTGCTAGACGAGGCCTTCTTGTCGTTGGAGACCAGTTGTCTCTTTGGTAAGCAAATAAATGCTGCAGCAGCGCAAGGCATGTGAGCAATGCATTTTTCTCGATTCTTTGTTCCTAGTACTGTTCTCGTTTACTACCACTTGTTGTACGTGTAGGGCGGATACAGTGAACTGGAGGCCTTGGATTTCATGGGTTGGAAGTCAGTAAGTCTGCAAGCGCTTCTGATCACAGTCGAGGCATATTAGTTTTGCGCTGCTGCTTTCGTCCCACGTTTTATTGGTTTTTGGGGAACAGCATGCGTTATTCTAGTTGCGTCTGATGTTATGATCACGAAACACCAGGAGGTCAATCGTTCCTATTTCTCGCTTGAACGACTACCTTGAGGTGCCCACGTACAACTATAACCCCATAGCGTCAGGAGCTGCTCGAGTCGGTGCAAGTGCAGTCGGTACCGGGAGCGTCACTGCGACGAGCACTGGAGGAGGGGCCATAAAGACAGCGTACATGCCACAGGGTTTTCAAGCAGATTTCGGGAGTGGCGGAATGGGCGTGCGTGGAGAGGGAGGGCGCGAAACAGCACCCGAGCCGATGCATGTAAGCCAGCTGATTGTTTTGAACCTGTATACTCGGGAGTGTTTCTGGCTCTGCACAGATATATACGTTTTGTTGTCCTTTTTTGTTGTTTTAGTGTGGAAATGAAGTCGACTACCTATGTGGTCATTACTGCTAGCAGTTGCTTTTGTGTGATGTGATCAGGAAGAGGAAGAAGTGCCCGAAGACTGGGAACAGCATCTTTGAGCCTATGTTGCGTCCCTTGGGGTATCTCGATAGTCCCCCATACTTCGGTTTGGCTTCAAGGCACAGAAAGCGGCCATCCCGGTGGCCTTCATTGGCTGCTTGTGACTAGGTAGCTGTGGCATCTCGGCAGCTTGACCCAGGATGTTGAGTCGTTGTTTGTCAAGGCCTCACTTTTTGCCACAGTATATGAGTTGGCGTTTGTAGGTTATCTCGCTGTCTTGTGGCGCATTTATCACTGGCTAGCTGCCAGGGGCGCTCAATCGCCTGTTTTCCCTGAACCAAGACTGTCCAAGGGTCCAGCGTAGTTGTAGAACGTACTTTAGAATCTTCGGGAGATCAATGTGAATGGTACTTGTGTTTACAAAGGATGTTGGTACCACCTGTGTCGAACCACAGGATCAGGCCGTGAAAGGGAACGTGCTCTACCGTTATAGAGGAAGTGAATATCTCTAACGAGCTATCCAAGCCCTGCTACGTCTTCTTTATAGGATGTGACTGCTGGCAGCAACTGCTATTACTGGGCATACATACAAGCTGAGTCACCGACTTCTCGCGTTGTGTAGAGGGTTAGTTATCCAATTCGCTGTTCTCCCTCATGCATGGCTATCTACGAAGTCTCGGATTCCCTGGCTGACGCTGTGTAAAGGAGACTTGGTGCTTTTGTTTCCAAGTTAATTTATGTTGATTGTGCCCAAAATCTAGTGGTAATCTAGGTTCGCAATACGACGCACCCCTGCATGTTTGGATATCAGATGAAGCGAGGAACAACGCCAGGCAAATAGTGGATAGGGGACTTCTTAATTGCACTGCGGAGAAGTGACATTTTAGTAATGGTAGCGCTTCGCTCCAGCAGCACTTCCAAGTTATGTTTCGTTTTTTCGAATCCCTCCCGCACATCCCAAAATCGTGACTTCTCGCTGTGGTTGCCTGGTAGCGCCTGGTAGCTAGCCATCAGAGCGAATAGCCAGCGCATGGGCTTGCTTTGTGGTAATCACTATAGATGCAGTTGTAACGACTGGCGCGGCTCTGAACGCGTATCGGAGACGTAGTGTTGGCTTTGTGGGCAAGTGCATGGTGGTCGCGCTTGCCGTCTGCATTGCTATTCGATGCACCCCGGAATTCGACAGCTTCTTCATACTAATGCGGTGTGACGATTAACCTCAGCTTGCACGCAAAGTAGCTACCACAGAAGCCTGCTGTAGGGTCCTGTGTAGGCGAGGACTGTTTCTTTGGTATTTATAACTGCCAAGTCTACACAGCATAGCTCGACCCTGAACAGAGGGAGTCGGATTCGCATGTACTTCTCAGCGCATAGCTACGTCTTCGATGCTGAACAGTAGTAAGCAACTTTGGTTGCATCAGAGAAGAGTGGGTAGTTCCACTCAGGTTTATCGTTGAGACCGTACTGCACAGGGTACGGACTCAGCGGTCTTGCGTATCGAGTTGAGTCATTCTTTGCTGCAACACGACGAGAGCGCTTCGAAAACTCCATAATTCTCTCTGTAGGGAGAACTTGTTTGCTCGCTTGGTTCTTTCCGAGGGCACTGTGCACATACCTTAATGTTCTTCTCCCTGGAGTGCTCAGTCACTTCTCGGCAGCTCCCCCTTAATAAGAGGGTGCTATCAGAGTGTTTCGAAATAGTTGTATTAATAGGCAGTCATACAAGTAGATGTTCATCTCAGCAAGCAGCCAATGAGAGGGGAGCAGTTGCAGTCATGGTGCAGTCACACCATGTAATTATCAGTTCCAGGGGCTGTTACGCATGCATGGAAGAATTTTGGGGGCCGCAATGTCTTTTCAAGTTCTTTTGGATACTATATTGTTTTCATCTTTTAGTCCAATGCATAGAGTTTTTCAGTTTCTCACAGACGATCTTCGAAGAGGGGTTCTCTGGCCATCTCATATCGGGACGTGCACGTAGTCCACTCAACCAGTGCCGCGGAATCGATTTTCAAGGATACAGGCTCCGGCGAGTTCCATTTTTAAAATATTTGCATGCTTTGCTCAACTTCAGTTCTGTTTTTTCGAATGCTTGAGAGTTGGTTTTCAGCGCTGATCTGCGTGATGGGTGATCATCCGCCACCTTGCAGGAGCGTACAGGAACCTCCACCAAGGTTTCAACTTGGCCACCTAGTTCTCCGTCTTGTTTGTGAGATTGTTGTGACTGTTTGATATACTGAGACAGTACGGCAATCCGCCGCCTACTGGGCTCCTCTCAAATTCTTTAGTTCGTCCATCTAAGCATTCGTGGAGTTGCTACACTTCACACTTCACAGCTGCTGACCTTGACAGCAGGGTTTCAAGATAGGACTAGCTGCTACGAACCGTCTTCGAAGGTCTGTTGGCCAGACTTAAGCAGCGAACCGCCCTCACCTGACACTCATACCCCCTTTGTGCCCCTCCACACACCCGTCGACGGTATTCTTATATCAAACATGCTTGACTCTTTGTATGGGGATCTGCCTCCTCCGACGAAGGGGGAGGGTGTGGACAAGAGCGCAACCACACCTGCTCCTAGTGGCTCCTTGCTAGGGTCCCTTTATGATGACCCGGACGACCCTGCGGAGGCTTCCACAGCTACAGGTTCTAGCTCAGCTAAACTTCCTGGCGCCACTACGGGCACAGCAGTGGCTGGTGCTTCTGCAGTTGCAGGTTCAGCAGACGTTTCTAGCTCAACAAGCGCTATGTGGGCGGCTCAGCGATTGAAACTTCTAACCCCGGCTGTTGTGCGACGACAAACTATGGCAAAAGCAGCACCGAAGTCGTCTCCATCCTTAAACGTGCAAGCTGCTGCAGCGGATGCTGCTCTTGTTCTAGAAAGGCTCAAGAAGTTGCATGCCGGAGTCTTGGCGGAGGAACAAAAACCGGATGGTGCTGCCTCGCGGGCTGTTGCGTCAGCTGCAGGAAGTTCTGCCAAAGCTGGTGATGTCGGAGCAGGAGGAGCAGAGTCGAGCCATAATGAGACAGAGCCTATCGTTAATGTAGTGTCTGTAACTGTGGGAAGCAGCAGCCCTTTAGACCCAACAACATGGGTTCCCGTTGGCCTCTGGCCACAAGAATATGATCCTTCAAAGCCCAACGATTACACTGCCATACACAAAGAAAAAATGAGGCAACAACAAAGGGAGGAGCTGGAAAGATTGAGGCAGCAGGAATTAGAAAAGCAGAAGCACGATGAGGAGGCTGCTCGAAATGGTAAGGGTTGTCCGGCAAACTCTCGCTGTTTTTAGTGACCTGCCTTGCATAGTTTCACACAATGAGTGAAAATTGGCGTGGGTGCGCGTTGTAGTATTTTAATAGTGCTGATTTGTGGCCGGATGCTGCATGTTTTAGCAATATGGTTTTTGCTCTTCGATCGAGCAGGTGCAGCAGGTGACGGCGGAGAAACGGTGACCTCCCCTGAGCCTCAGGCCCCTCTCCTCCCCTCTTACATCGATCCCAACAAGAAAACTTTTGCTGCGCGCATGATGGAAAAGATGGGCTGGAAGCAGGGAGAGGGACTTGGCGCAAACAAACAAGGAATTACTGCTCCTCTCGTGGCAAGGAAGACAGCCATGAGAAGCGGTATTATTGTACAGGTACGCATGAGCAAAGGGACGGTTCGGTATAAGCTCGGTAACTGCATTCGTATGGGGGACAAGTTTTTCACACTGGAGTCCACCGCTAGCCTGCTTATAATATCGAGGGGACCGCCTATGCAGTTCTTGCCCGGTGCGCCAGTGCGAATTACCATTTTTCACTTACTGGATCTTTGCCTCCTTAGCCTGCACGTTCATACCGTGTTTTCATAGGAAGCACCTTTGGTACTCTGTATCAAAAAGGTCGAACTTTTTTTCCGTCGTAGGCGAACTTATCTTGCGTGCTGTCCATAGAGGATTATTTGTTTTGGGCGAAAGCATGAATATATGGACAGCCGGAAAGCATCGTCGAATATGGGAGATTCCCTTAATGAGAAGGCTGTGCTGGCCCCATTTATTTTGTGGTTTTGTATTGTGTCACTTTTTTCTGTATGCCCAAATGCTTTACATGAGACATGGCACTTTACAGGGTAATCTTTTACGAAACGTTGGTCAAGAGTGTTTGTGGTGTTGCACGGCAGGGTCAGGACGTAACGACTTTAGGCCAAGTACCCCGGGCAGTGACATTCAATATGGCTCCAACGCGCATCCTTTTGCTGCTAAACATGGTTGGTAGGGGTCAAGTGGACTCAGACCTAAAAGAGGAAACGGAAGAGGAGGCAGCGAAGCTTGGGAACCTGCTGCAAGTTCGTATTTTCGAAGCTGCTGGGGTGCCAGACGACTGCGCAGTGCGCATCTTCTGCGAGTATGAAAGAAAGGAAGAAGCAACAAGGGCTTTGCTGACTTTCAACGGGCGCGCTTTTGGCGGGCGTACTGTTAAGGCAAAGTTTTACAGCGAAGAACGGTTCTCAAGAGGCGACTTACGCCCGGACCCCGAACAGGAAATAGACCAACACGTCACTGTGACCATATAGCTATTTATTACCTGTGTGCTCTCCCATACGTCAAAGATAAATTCGCCAAACTAAAGGAGCCTCCAAAAGGGATAACGATGTTGGAAATGGAGGTGCTCCATTATGATGCATAAGTTAGCATCCTGCATCCATGGGTGCATGCAACAACGCACTTAATGAGGGGTCTAGTTTTTCTTTCGGCGTGATTTTCTACTGGTGATCTGACTCCTTTCTGGCAATATCCAGACAGCGTCGTGGGTTGGTGGCTAAGTTTGCGAGTACATCATTACCTTTGCCCATTCCAATAAAGTAGTTTAGTGTCGCAGTGTTCGTCTTCCAGAGACTATCCAAAGAGCACAGGCATAAAGCATCTGCACAGAAATAAACCAGCAACAAAGTAGCTATCACAACCTGAATTTCGAGAAGAGCAGGTAGAGGCGTTGCCAATTTTTCGGATTGAGTTTGCTAAAGGCTTGGCGCTTCGTTGAATTTTCGCGCAGCCAACAGTTGTGGCTTTTTAAGTGACGGAGCATTGTCGGCCCTACTCTGACGACTTGACGCACCTACAATAGCAGTCCCGTGGTTCATTTTCAGAGCCGCTGAAACACTAGCGCGCACCAACTCTCGTACCACTGTAGTCTCAATTTATTGAGAGTGAAAGAAAAGGCCTTTCTCATTCATTTTCTCACCACAGGATCTAGTGTACTCCTAGTGCTGAGCTTCGTGGGTACGTGGTACGTTCCCGGACAGCTCGTGTAGTAAATACCACCAGCGTATGATCCCGGATGCAATACACGCTGGCCATGCGTTGGAAAAGAGTAGAGTTTCTTGAGCAAAATGCGCGGCATGCCGACCTTGTTAGGTCCTGTTGACTCGACAATTGCCGAAGAAAAATCCTCTAAGCGTCTTGTTACTGCCTCTGCTGCGTCCATGGGAACGCACGCTAAGGCTCACCCTTTGCTGCTTGCAGACGCATCTTGTCTCTGCTTTGTGAACATTGAGAAGCAGCTCTTTGCAAAGCTTCGTTAGATCCCTCCGGGATGTTTGCCTCTTTTTTTCCCCTATAATTACCTAGCAGAGCCTTCAGTTCAACCACAAGTGAAAAAGCGCACGTGGCTAAGTCCCGACTGCTGAGCCCCGCCTAGACCGTTTACGAGGCTGTGTCACGTCCCTTTCGAGGCCTATCAATAATTCGGATGGGACTTGCCAACCGCTACTGGGATCTTTAGCTCGGAAGCGGACAAGTTGAGGATCAGAAGGCACCGTAAGGCGCTATTTGGAGCCAAGGTTGTATAAAGGGGAAATATGATGAATTTTTGAAGAGACTGCAAGCGGCTGCATCCCGTTGGCCACAAACGGGAAGAATCCCCCAACAGAGTCACGTTGCGAAAGGCAGATGAAGTCAGATATTTCCCAGTTCTTCCCTGAAGTCAAACGCTGCAAAGGAGAAACTTGCGTGCTGTTGTGAAGTGCCTTGCCGAGGTTTCCTAAGGGAGGCTTCCACAGTAAACAACAATTCCTACAGATGGGCTGCTACGCTGCATGAAGTTTTCGTAGGGCCTACGTAAATCATGGAATGAGAAATGAGGTAACTTTGAACTAGGAATGTCGGTTGTGCGCAGCTATGGGTACCCTGTACCAAGAGACAAGACTAAACTGCACTGGAACAAGGCACCGAATTCATAGTTGCGAAATCGCAGGACATCAACTCAACGCGTATGAAACTCTAGTGGCTAATGTCTGTGGTACGAGGCTTCTCGCTGCCGAGCCCAACCTTTGCACTAGGGCAACATGGAGGCAGAGAGCTGATTAGGCAGCTGCATTCTATACAAAAATTCAGGAGCTACATCCATATGGTAGGGGGGACAGCAGTACACGTCTCACTCCGATAGCTCGCTGAATCTGCATACAACTAATAGTAGTTGCTATACTAGTGCTGTTGTGCAATGTCTAAATAAAGTGTACACACAGCATAGCCATCTTTTGGGGACACGGACGAGCTGATTGGCTAATTCCTTTCAGAGAAACTATTTGGCTAGCGTATTATGTGCCACGAAGCAGACAGCATACTGCACGACAGAGCAGAAATGTTTGTTATCAAGGCACACGCTGACGGACTAATCTCGAATGCGTAATGCACTCTCCTGGTGTAGCAAGTTGTTTCAGGTTATGTAGCACAGCCAGGGAGACCTGAAAGTCCAGAACGCATCACGTGTAGCTTCAATCCAATTGTTCCCTTGCACTTGCTAGACGAGCCTTTGAGACGCTCACCTCGCAAAAACACTGAGTAGCCATATAATTTTAAGTTGACGACCACAGGATCTCTGTAGGCGTACCGCCGCTGCTGTCGCAAAGGTTACAATGAGAAACTTCCCGCGGAAGCCTCATGCATTGAAGAGCCTTGCAGGAAAGTCCTCAATCCGCGAAATTTGACATAACATGACTGCAGACTAAAGGAAACTCTAGGTGGAAATATCGAGAGTTCCAGAGGTACACAGATGCCACAGCTGACACACCATGACGACAGCGGGCAAATTTCGAGGCGAAGAAGATCGCCCGAGAACTCAATCCTTCCACATTCACCACTGCTAACGCCTGCCCTTTAATCGATATGAAACTTTAGTTTTCTTGCCATAATTCGTAGTAATTAGCGAGTGCGCCTGAGTCACCTGCAGTGGCATTGCCTGCAGGCGGTCATCGCTTGTGCCTGCTGTGTACTGGATGACAGGCACACACTGTCCATGAAAGTGATGGATAATCTCTTGTGAGCGTTACTTTCCCTAGTGTGAGCGCCACCACCTCCTCCTCCGTTAAAAGGAATGTCTTTATATCCCCAGTGAACTGCGCTTAGCAGCTCCTCGCAGACTCAAAGCTGGGCAGTGCGACAACTACGCACAAGAGTCTGAAAATGCGCCAGGAGCTCCAGCTGTGTTCACAGATGGCCTACAACGCTTGTGGATGTTCCTAGGGATAATAGTTCCCGTCGCTCTTGCATCAGAGCTCATATCTGCCCAAGATTCGCGAACTTCCATGAAGTGCGCATGCAAACCGAGAACAACCACCCATTCCTTCGCTCAAGCTGCATTGACCCTAAAAGGCTCTCTGCTTTTGAGTAACGCAACATTAGAAGGCAGCGGCGCCAATTCTCCTGCGTGTGCTGTGGGAATGTCGGCGTTCGTGTGCTAGTCAGCAGCACAGCGCTGTAGCTGCCGACAGTACGTGGCAGCGGCATTAGCCCCCAAGGAAGCCCCCCATAATTTGAGACTGATGCACGAGCATTCCGCTCGCTGGATCTACCTTAATGGGCCAGTATCATCGGTCTCGGGCTCGCTGTACACATAAACCCGGAACAAAAATACCGGTAACAAAGCACATGTCAAAAAGAGTAGGCCTATTACTGCTACCACCAGTGCAACAAGAGGTTTTAGTATTACCGAATTCACGCCGCACGTTCTCCGTTTCAAGTTACTAACCGCACTAGCATGCTGCAGCACTCTTCCGCGTATGTCAACTATGCTAGCCACTGCATGCGTGGAACCAGTGGAGAAGTTGTAGGGTGCGTCAGCCTAAAGAAGCTAACAAAAATAGCCTTACCTGTTCGCAAAACAATGTAGTTGACTGCTCTCACGGCGACCACTGTGAGTACTTACTCGCTGAACCTCCCTTCCTCGTCATCACCAGGGTCAGAGGTGCGGCGACCATAGAAGTTGTACGGATGAACTGGCAACAAAGCGTGGATCAAGATATTTAATGTTCCTGATATGATCATCAAGATGCCACCCCAGAGGCCCAACGTGTCGATGCCGAGAGGCAGCAGTCCGACCCTGGAAAAACCAAGCACAGCAAGCCCGTTTTCTACTCCACTGATACACTCCACACGCAGCGAATTTGAAAATGCATGAGTTGATCCTCTGAATTGTACTTCTGATTTCCACTTAGATGAGCAACTTTACCGGTGTCCTATTCAGCCCCTATGGAAAGTCAACGACTTCTGTATAGTTTTGCCCCTGCTGCCTCACATGATGTAGAGAAGACCCCTGAAGAAATACTCCCCCAATAAAGGGCATATGCCCATAAGGACGTTTAGTCCATAAGGCGAAAACTCGCACAGTAAGCAGATAGAAGAAAAGCAAATGAGGTAAAGAGAGACAATGCAGCTGGTGTAATCCGCAGGGGCTGCAACAGAAGCAATGCTCCCAACCATTAAAATCAATGCTGAGGCAGCGGTGAATAGCCGCACCCCCAAGGGTAGGCGATCCATCAAAAAATCCATTTTTATTTCTGCTCCTAGCGCCGCTGAGAAATTAAGGGGAGGCCAGCTGGAATAAAAGGCGAAAACGAACGATACGTCCGCCAGTACGCGTCGCTCCGACAGGAGCCCACATGCAGCTCGTAACTAGGATCAGATCCGGTTACCATACATACACATCAGGCGCTGTGACCACTGGCCGCAATGCATAGACCAGTGGGACTGATGGATGAACACAACGCACAAAAACTGCTGTGGCGATCAGCCCGTTATGGCAGAAGGGAGACGCGTGCTTCGGTCTGTCTTTACGAAGGCTCCATAAACAACGAGTTCCAAGGAAAAGTCGAACTTAACATCCTGACGTGTAGAACTGGAGTCTGGAAGGCACATGCATACGTCACCTACGAAGACGACAGACAGACTGGCGGGCTGGTTACTCACTACCGTAATTCAGTTACTTCTGGAAGGCAAATGCAATTCTTTCACAGTACACGCCATGCAGAAATATCAGAAAATGATGTTAACTCCTTCAATTCACGAACTGATGCTGCATGCACGACCCGCAACTGCAGCCATGATACAGCGCCCAAGGACAAACACGAATCTCCCCGCAGAACCTTCTCTACAGATTCCGAATGCCTGGTAAATTCAAAAAAAATTGCAGTTTCACTGGTCTGTAGGAGAATCTTGGTTGTGTGCGACGCGCAGCACACTCCCACCTGGCTCTCGCCGAAGTCTCGCAACGCATTAACACGCATCAGCAGTATTGATACGTTCGTAGAAACAAATTGTATTTTACTCTGCTTGAATCATCCAGCTGAAGTTCAACACTCTCCCAAGTGTGGCCGTGCGCTACTATTTTGGAGGCCATGGAATATGTATTCTGTGTAACATGTCGGCGCTTACAAGTGCCACCAGGCGGCATTCCATGTGCACCTCTAGCCTATGTCACAGATTGGTAAGACAAGTAGCAACAATTAGCAACACGTACAAGTCGGTTGAACCTTTATGCCGCGGTAAACGCCCGGATTCGGCGGCACTCCGGTTCGGCAAGTCATTTGCTTCCTTGAGGAGGTCGGAAGATGCTTCTCAGTCTCTAAAGCAAGAAATCCTCCTCCCGAACTCCACAACGTATTTGCGCTAACGTGACTGTTGGATTTCAGGCTTTAGGTGCAAGGTTGGGGATTTTGTATCATTTCGTGGATCCATTCGACAGTGTCAAAGACAAGCCCCTTTTAAAGTCTCTAAAGGGAACTGCGCCTATGCCCACTTTTACAGACAGAAAGATAAAAGGTTAGTCAAGTGGACACCTCCTGGGTTTTAATATTAATGCACGTTTAGGCGCTCACTTGCACTCATGTTCTTGCACTGTGCTTCCGTAGCATCATCCACACAATGCCACAGAAGAGGCGCCTGGTCGTGCGCATTCCTCTCCAGGAAAGCATTCCTCTTGACTACTACATATTACGTTGATGCCTGAATGGGCTTTACGCGAAAGCCCATAGAGCGTACAGGACAGTGCTGGGGCGCTGAGGGACCGAACTCTTCTACGTATGTGCTAGCAAAAGCTTGTGAGTATTGTAGGGACCTCAGCAGATCCCCTTCACATAGCAATGTACAAGGACACACACACTGCAACTGCAACTCTTGTTTGATTGACACGACGATACCTGGTAGAACACAGTACAGAAATTATATTTGCCTATCTCGCCTTCACTGAGCTCGAGTACATCCTACTCAGAACACAGTACAGAAATTATATTTGCCTATCTCGCCTTCACTGAGCTCGAGTACATCCTACTCAAGTTCACTTCGGCTATATGTTTCCTGTTGGCTGTGCCTCAGTGGCAAAATAACAGAAATATTTGTCGATTTGAGAATGAAATAGAGTTTAGTATCCTATAATGCGTTTCCTTGCGCTTCCTAACTCAGCACTGGCAAAATCAAAGACTTGTTTAAGGGCCCCTTCTTAGGGACCAGCACTGTTTCCGAAGCCCCTCCTTAGGGACCAGCACTGTTTCCGAAACGCCACAATAGTTGGGGACCAGTCAGCATAACCATTAAACAAAGGCGTGCTCAAAAAAGACCTACCATACAGCCGGATACCATGAGTTGGTCGAAGCATGAACGGCACTACAGTCCATGAACGGAACTACAGTCCAGCAAGTTCGCCTCAGCTCCGCCATTGCCGTACATTTCAAGCTGCAGTGGCATCACACACAGGTAGGGTAGGCCTCTGTAGGAGCATCCAGTTGACTCAAAGCGAAGGATGCACATGAAAGGAGGCATAGGTATAGAATTAACGGTAATTCTGCTAATAAGGAGCCTGAAGGAGCATGCGGGGCATTCAAACAGCTTGTGCAATACAACGACCTCAGCGGAAGAGGCAGGGGCGCTCGAGTCCCCTGCGCAGCCGTCAGCAAGTCCATGAAGAGACAACTGTCAAACATGATCGTCTCCATAATGCATCGAACAGCAGCCCCAGCCTCCGCCTATTTTTCCAGGCAATTTGGCCGCCTGGAACACGCTTGGGGAGTGGCAGAGGGCCTTGCATGGGAAACAGCAGCATATGCAGCGCAACAGCAGGCACAATAGCTGCACAGTTGCAAGTACGAGCAAAATCGGGATAAAAAGAATAAACAGCACCAGAGAAAGGAGAAACATCTTCTGGTGTTGAAGGTGTTGCTGAGACAGGCAGTGCCGGAGAGTTGCGAGGAATCTGCTCTACAGTTCACCTCCCATCACGTGGAACGCGAGTGATTTCACGGAAACCCATCAGTATATATCTGGATCAGCAATAAAGAACTGCACAGCCCAGTATCGCCGCATCCAGAGTGCGAGGTCACTTTGGCTGAGGGGAGGAGTCGGCTCTAGGAGGCCGACAAATGAAGGGAACATAGATTTTGCCCGCAGAGCAAGGACATTTCGTGTGAATTTAAGATGTAAAATAAGTCGCATGATAATGATGGGAAGACACAAAGAGTCCCCGTGGGAGTTGCAAGCGTGAAAGGTCAGGCTGTCCGCACAGCCAATTAATTTCGCTGCACACGCTACAGCAATCTTTTACAATTTTGCAAAATATGTAAAATCTTGGAGTCCTCTATCTGTGTATACAATGCAAATAGGACGAGGACTACAGACAAGTATTCCGTGCAAGGGGTAGTTTTTTGGCGTTGCCCGCTAGACACGACCGATTTCTGCTACCATCTGAGATCTCCACAGTTTAGCTCACGCCAGTGACTCCCTTCCACTAAAGTGTATACATCGGTGCAGCGCCTACTTCGAAGTGTATCCCGGCCAGTGGTGCGATCATCTACGCCTTACGCTGCTCTAGATGCCAGCAGTAGCGACAGAAAAACAGGATAGGTTCCTGGAATCACAGGCAACCTCCGAAGTGCTCGGCCCAGGGAACATGAAGAAAACTGTGGCGGCCTACGGTGAGGATTAATGAGGGACTGGCAAATTTGTTCCGTGCCACTTAGAGCCAGTAGCAGATGAACTCCTACTTATAAACATTCTGGCAACTAATTCATGTATCAGTTGGCCACTGACCATACGCAGATATCTACAAAGTGGCTCGCAATTGTTGTTGTAGCCCTAGACTGAAAGGTTAACAACGTCAATTCCCTGAAGCAGGTTCCTATTTAGTTCCGTAGGGCACTCGACGCACTCATTTATTAGAGAGACTGACTCACCAACGCTATCCACAGGAGAGACCCATGTTTTATCACTGAGAAGATTTCCGCGTAATTGCAGTGCCGTCTCTCTTTTTCTGTATCCCGCCCGTGGCGCAGAAGGTGATGGCCTTCCTCCTACGTAGCCGCTTCTACTCCCGCCTGGCTCGCTTGAACTACCATAGTGCCACTTAGACGCTTTTATAGCATGATGCACTAGTCTAGTTGCTAGGTTAGGGCTTTGTCATGCTTCGGCAATAGGCCTTCGGGCCTGCTCAGGACCTAGCCGCATAACTCAGGACAATTCCACTCTGAGAAGGTCCACGAAAACTTAAGTTTTCACCAGTAATACTCACAGCCAACTGCGCTGAAAAGGAACCGACAAGACTCAGTCCTTTCCTTTTGTCAGATGTTAAAACAGTGAACGCGTTCCTTGGGTGTCTGAACTCCTGCAAAGCTTCCGCAGGACTTTGTCTCGTTAACCACTTCGGTCTTCTTGACTTTGCTGTGGTCCCAGCTGGCCTCATCTACTCTTTTTTCGCATGAACTGTTTTAAAAGCGTGCTCCCTACCTGCGAGCGAGAGCACACGTTTGGCGTTCTCGCCCTTATGAGACCTCTTAGAGCCTAGACTGGGGATGCTTGCTTTGTGAAGAAAAGAGTCCCAGCTAACTAGCTCAGGCGGTAGTAGGTGGCAAGCGCTGTTAACGGTCTATCTAATTCGCTTGATAATAGCACAAGCTAGGTTTGTTCTTGAGGAAAGGCAGACCCTGCATGCAATTCCAGTGCTTTTCAAAGGCTGTGAATTCTCCCCGAATCAGCACACCAGATGGCCCTGTGTTGGGTACTGGGCGGAACAGCCAGCAAAGTAAGACTTCCGAAGTCAGTAGCATCGGGACACCCGTTCCACTAAGGAGGAAAATCAGAGTTGCACTTACTGGATTCGATGTACCAGTCTATATCCCCCCTACATGAAACCATCTTTTCTTTGGTTCGGCCTTGTTGAGCTGCAACTGCAGCGGAGCGCTTCACGAGAGCCGCTGCAAACTGCTGGCTGTATCTTTCATGCTCAAAGCCTTACGCGGAAATGCGATGAGATTAGGCCAAGGCTACGTGTTCTGAGTATACAGGATTGATGCCATCTGAATGAACTTGTGATCAGGGGACGCTACTTCATTTTCTCGCAAAAGCAATCCTCTCAGCGTTTACACAGATCGGTTCAAGAAGTGAGTAATAGCTGAATAAACCTACGCAAAATGCAAGTGGAGCTACAATTCTCAGCGGTGCTGTCGGACCTACTGCTTCAACCATCTTTGAGGGCCGCAGCGGAACCCAATATG